GTCATGATTTGCTGATGTGCTGCTTTGTAGTGACTGTTGAGTTGCAGTCTATTTTATGGTTCAAAATTTTAGGCAGTGGCCTAAAATCAGCCCATGTTGGCTGATGTATCCTAATGAGAGCAGACATTTAGTTTATTTTCAAAGTTTATTTTCATGTTCTGCTAAATATTTCAGCAGTTTCAAAAATGCATCTGACATGGCAAATGCTGTATGTATGACGTAGAGCTGCATCTCCACAAAAGTGGAAATAAAGTGTTAACCTCTGCTTATAAAAGTTGAGCATAAGAAATCATCTTCACTGTGAGAGACAAATCCATGTCATGTTTTTTCCAGAGGGAGTGTGACCCAGTGTGAGAGGCAGTTAAGCCTCAGTCATGCCCAGTCTAAAGGCTTAGATCATGGGCAGAGACACCGTCTTTGTGATGCTGGTTAGTCTGTCTATGTTTCAGTCTACACATGTATAGAATGAGGGTATTTTCCTGTTCTACCATTCTATCTTAGATATATACCATTATAACATTGTATATTTACACATACAAAAATGCTAAAAATAATTTATATTGAGTACATAGAAGGGAGCTGTATCCTTGTCCAACAGAGCTTGATTTATAGAGAAGTTCTTCCTTTATGCAGAGCAAGATGTGTGTGTGTGTGTATTAGGATGCAAATATTTTAGGTATGTCTCCTTTCAGGAATCCACTGATTATTTTATAGATTCTCTATTTTCTGCATATTGTCTTCATTATGGCAGAGATGCCTGTTTGAAAGTGTCCTTGGGAGAGGTGATTCTGATGATTGCACAGGAATACTTAATAAATCAAAGCATGCAGATAGGGTAGAGATATAGATACAAAGCACAAGAATATAATGGGTATTTGGTGATTAACAGGTGCATTTTTACTGTATTTGGCTAAATGGATCCATGGTTAGTGAATGTATATGTAGTTTAACTTCTTTGAAATATGTTGGCATGAAGTAGGGGCAAATCAAGCTTTCTCTTGGAAAGTGAATGCAGCAATCATAAATCTGGAAGCCCGAAGTATGTAGTAGAGCTTCCATTAACCTGGAGACCTGGGTCTCCTCATGTTGGAGGGGCTGTTCAATCTGCAGTAGCTTTAGTGACCACAGTTCCCCTGAGTCTTCTTTCTGAGCATTCCTTTTCTTGTGGAGTGTATTGTGCATTTCTCTGTGTTGGTATCAAAGCCAAATGTGCTGGAAACTGGTCTCCAAGGAGCTCTAGACCAGCACTTCATAAGCTGAAGTGTATAATTTAGCTATTCATATGCCAAATACAGAATATTGGTCACACGGGTATGAAGCCATAGAAGGTGGCACACCTCAGCCAGAAAGGCAAGTAAGGGAAAGTGAGTGATGTGGAAGCTTAATGTGGATAATTTGTTTGTTTGGGGTTTCTTTGGTTTGTTTTATTATTTTTAACTGCTGATGTGCTTTTACACCTTTTCATTTTCCAAGAGTATAGATGGGCTTACAGGAGTAGCAATATGTTGTGTGTATACTTGCCAGGCTTTTTTTTTTTCTGATAATATTTAACAGTATACAATAATAAAGGAAATTGACATAGTTTGTAAATCAGATGGTCTCAACCAAAACATCTTTTGGCATAAAAAGGTAATCGAGGACTGATCTGGATCTCATGCCCTCTCTTGACACCTAAGCCTGTTACTTCATTGGCAGATCTAAGAAAAACAAACCATCCTTGTCGACATATGTGGAATAAGGCACAAACTAACCTTAATGAACCCCTTGATTTAAGGTAAATGCCTGCTTCAGAAATGCAATTTGAATTAGAGTAGAACAGTAGAGGAATATGGGGAATCTTGAGCTTTTGTGTCTTAAGGATGGCCCTTCGTGAAGAGACTGGAAAGAAGGTGACTACAGCCCTGTCCACATAGGTTAAAAAAGTGTTAAATCATCAGAAAAGACAAGCCACATTAGCCTGTCTCTGATTTGTCTTCCTAACTTGCTATTGTTGAACTGTCATATAACAGTGTCAGGTTTTGATTTTTTTAAAATATGCAATTGCAGATAGGTATTGTGGAGTTCTTTTATCAACTTTAACTAGGCCAGGTGAATCAAAATCAAATACTCTTCAATAAGTAGTGTTTTTGAACCTGGTCAGCACCAGGATTTTATATAGTAGGAGAAATGAGGTTCTTTATTGGATATCGATTAGCCTTTTCAGGACATGAGGAATTTTCCAGTGAGGGCATTATTAACCAAAACAATGTATAAAGCTATGCTATATATATACAAAGATAAATTCCTAATAAGATAGAGCAGTTCAGTGCACATGCTCTCAAGGAGTTCATGCTCAAGGACAATGTCAATTCTTTGTTTCTCGTTCAGTATTTTGCTGCAGTTTTGCATTTGTGTAGTTCAATTTTGCATGAGGTATGACAGAAAACCTCTACTTATACTTTAAATTATTGATAGAGACAGTGCATGCAAAAATCCTCTAATTCTCAAAACCTGCTTTAAAAGAATATTAGCTTGTTCTGCTATTTGGACAGGTAAAACAGCTCAGCATGGTAATTTTATAGATAGACCTAATTAAATAGTAGAGATAGAAATTTCCTAGTGCTCCGAATGCATCATGAACATGAAATGTGATAAGTTAGGGCTGATGATAATTATAATAAACTTCAGCAATGAAATTATGAATATTACAAGAAGTCTTCTGACTCCTGTACTCACATTCTTAAGCTGTAATTTTCATACAACTATTTTTTGTTCTTAGGTTTGAGATTTTTCTTGTTGTTTCTTAGAAAAGAAGTAGTGCTAGACTTTGGTTTTGTTATATATTGCTTCTATTTCATATTGACAAATGGTTTACTCCTTTTTTTGATAAGCAGAAGTGGGTGGGATATAGGACTCTGTACTTTGACATAACTTTATAGATCTTTCTAGAAGTTCTTTAATACTAGGATGCTATTCTGGGTCTCTGCAAATAAATGAATTTTCCAATTGTGTGACTCGGTGGATTTGACACTGGCTGGACACCAGGTGCCCAGCAAAGCCACTCCACTTCCTCAACTGGACAAGGGAGAAAAGAAGATAATGAAAGGCTTGAGGGTTTAGATACAGGCAGGGAGAGATCACTCACCTGTCACAGCTGAGGGTAAAACAGACTACTTGGGGAAATTAGTTTAATTGGTTAAGTTAGATCAGAGTAAGGTAATGAGAAGTAAAACCAATTACCTTCCACCCAACCTTTTTTACTTCCTGTGCTTATTTCACTCCTGATGTTCCTCTGCCTTGTCCCCAGAGATGGCACAGGGGGGGATGGGGAATGGACCTCCAGGGGAGCACCTGCTTCCCTGTGGAATCTCTGTGCTGGAGCATCTTCTCCCCCTCCTTCTGTGCTGAACTGGGTGTATGCAGAGCTCCTCCTCTCATGTGTTCTCAATCCTCTCCCTAGATTGAATTGCTGTTGGTCAGTAACTTTTCCCCCTTCTCAAAGGGTTATTCCAAAGGTGCTGCCACCATCAGTGAGGGACTCTGCCTTGGCCAGTGCCGGATCCATCCTGGAGCCAGCTGGCACTGGCTCTGCTGGACATGGGGGATGTTTCTAGCAGCTTCTCGCAGAAGCCACCCTTGTAGTCCTCTGCTGCCTAACCCTTGCAATACAAACCCAATACCCGTGGCAACTTGCAACATCAGAAATCACTGATTACACTTAGTGAGCCTCTGGCAGAAACCGTAGAGTGTAATTGGGAAGACAAGTTCAGTTGATCGACTTCTGTTTTTGTTTGGTGTTTGTTTTAAAGCCATAGCTTTAAAGAAAGAAAACCAATTTGACTACAGATAATTTAACCTCTTTATGCTAGGGGTCTTGGCAGACTCAGAGTCTCTTCTCTTGGCTGTCACACTGCTGTGATTACATAGCAATGCATACTCCCTGTAAACTGGACAGCAATAGAAATATATTTCATCATCTCCTCCATAATTCTTATTAAGCATGCTATGTTTGTTATGAAGCAGGAAGTTCATGGCTCCCTCTGATATGACACAGCAATATGAGAACCCAGGGTCAGTAACTCTGGCCTTGAATTTTTCATGTTCTGAGATGATGATATCATTGTAGTGGTCTGTGTTCCTGGAAAAGTTGTTATGGAAACTTCATTACAGCTTTTCTAAAAATAAACAAACAAAACCCCAAGCAAAACCTTTTTAGAACTCTAAATACTTTGTTAATTTAAAAATTGTGTTACAGCCATTTTTTCGTGAGTTAATTTTAGAAATTTGGTATGCAAATTTCTGCAGTCATGTGCAAGTTTATGCAGTATATAAAGGTTGCTTATGGACCTCCTATTACTTGCTGTCACTGTTAGATACCAGGCATACATAAAGAGGTCCCATTCTGTGCCAGACCTGTGCTAGTGACAGGCACAAGGTGGATGTGCAGCAGGGGCACCACACATGAGCACCCAGCCAGAGGAAATCCGGTAACAAGGAGAGAAAGATCCATGTGCAAGGATGAATGGCATAGATGTAGAGGGAAAGAAAAAAAAGGGAGTGGAGTGCCATAAAGTTCTTTTGTGAATTCTGTTCAAAATTCTAACCAGTCTGAAAGCCTCAAGGGGTTGTTGGATTTGGTTGGATCCTGTGTGTGATTGGACTTTTTCTCTTGGGTAGATTTCGAAAGACATCCCTAGACTAAGATGATCCTATTTTATTTTTTTTCTCTACTGTGGTGGATTCTGGTGCTGTTATTTCTTTAGTCTAAGTGATGCACAGCTGCACAAGGAGAGTTTCAATCTTATGGAGTCTTCATATATTTGTGATTTTAATTTTTTCTAATTTTAAAGTTGTAATATACTTTCTTCACCACAATCAGTGATAAATACTGTGTTTAATGAATTTTTTTAGGGGTTTTATTTTTGGTTCTTTTTTCCGTCTTTTATCGTTACCTGATTTTGTCAAGGAAGTTTTCAAAGGAAAGAGAAAATTCAAGTAAATGCAATGTCTTCCCTCTACAGGATTTATGAACGTGTCATTGATCCCCCAGAAACAAATTTGACACCTGAAAGCAATTTATGGCTTGGACAGAGAAACAGGAAACATGGTTTCTTTAAGGTAAGCAGATACGAAATGTCACGTGAGGAAGGAACTTAATAGTAGTCAACAAGGTACTTCCAGTCAGTTGTGTTAGACTCTTGAAACATGATGTGCATGAAATTTGGTAGCAACTGTGGACAGTTTGTAAACAGCTTGTTTGCAAGGTAGAAGTTTCTGGTATTTATTCCAGTTTTGGATAACAAGGCACAGTATGAGTGTTTATCTGTGAAAGGGGTCCATAGAGCAGCAAGAGGCCAATCTGCCTTTCCTCAATCTGGGCAAGGATTTGTTGCCAAGGTGATTTACCACCCACTCGGTTTCTATGTGAAGCTGTCAGTTCCTAAGACAATTTTACAATTTGCCTCTTTTCTGAGGATGTCCCCAGATTTCCAACAAGCAAGGACAATTACACTGAGCTTATTTCAGCATAAGAGCTAGCAATTTTAATTGTAAAACAGAGGTAAAAGCCAACTTTTGGCTTAAATGATAGTCTGAGGTTTGCTCTGAACCTACAGTGCATTTCATCCTCCAGCAACTGAGCTGTCACTGTGAAGTGAAATTGATAGTATTATTTTATTCTACAGCTGTTGGTTTTTTACCTCAGCTGCTTCTCACTATTCCACAGATGGTAAACATATGTTTATAGCTACATAGGAAAAGGAAGAAGTTATATTGGAGTTGCCCATCTTAAATTCTTATTTTATGCAGGCAGTCAGAGCCCCAGAACTCTGGGATATTATATGTTTGTAAATTAATATTTCTGCATGTTAACACTTTGGAAACAGCAGGGTAGATAATGATATGCTAATGAGCTGACCATTTTTATTGATCATAATGAAAGCCGACAAGTGCCTTACTTTGCTTTATGTGTGCTTGAATATTTTACTAACTTTCTTCAGGGCAGAAATATAATTGGTTGTGTTTTTTTTTTTTTTTTCATCCTGCTTGAGAGTTCCAGAAGTCTTACTTTTTTTACACTTCTCATTGCGAAAACTTGGGATTTTGCCAGTTTGTAAAGAGTACACATCTCTTTCCGTGTATTTATATGCTCAGCAGGATTTCCCTTTCTTTTTCAGAGCAATTTGTTTCACTGTTTTAGCATATAAAAAAATAGATATATTTTCCTTAATGTAAACAGAGATCTGCAGGGAAATAAGAGCATTAAAAAAGAATTAGCATTTTTGTATGTGTGTTGGAGTCATGAAAATGTAAGAAAAAGCAAGCTTGTTGCGTGAATATTTTTTTTGTACCTATTGATATTGATACTGTTCATTTTCTTACCTCACCGCTCTTTCCAGTAAATTGTGCCTACCTACAGCTGTGATCTTCACCTTTTGTGCCTCCTGTTCTCAGCTCCATCCTGGCGCAGCAGGGTGGGTTAGAGGAAGGGGGATGGAGGGAGAACAGCCTGGGGTTTGGGAGAATCTCGGTGGGGATACTGGACTGGGGAGTACCATTCCTAAACCAGGACAGCTAATTGGTGGCTAATGTGTGGCAGGAAAGGTGGAAATAACAGGATTCAGAGCTGGTGGATAACTTATTTCCTTTAAGCATCCGTGGTATTGTGTGTGGAGCACTGGCCACAATGTTGCCTGGCTTGTTCACGGGGATGTGGTGCCTAACTCTGTGTCTGTTCCCTAGTGTGCCTCCCTTCTTCAGTGGGGGAGAGGGATCAGGATTACTTTGTTGCTGATCTCTGTGATAGCTGCTTATGACTTGATAACATCAAGGGCAATGGTGGTTATTTTGTTCGTGTGTTGAGTGTTGTTCTCCCACCCTTACCTCCGGTTCTTCTGTGAGGAGTCCATTAATAATCATATCTAGTCTGTGGGGTAGAGGGGGGCCATGGGATGGTTTTCCACAGTTTTCACCCCCTCTTTTCCTCCTTCAGACCTGTTAAAACAGCTTTTGAGGATTTTTAATTTCATTTGGATGTTAAGGAAAGCATGTTCTTGTTGCTATATCTGCTGTGTTTTCTCAGTATGGTCTACAGTACCATGTTTAGAGTCGGGAGGGAGATTTCTAGGAGTGCCATTTAGAGATCTGCCCTGAAGGAAATAATCATGAGTGTCATGGAGCGTGGGAGAAATTGGGCTAGTGTTTGGAGAAATTCTCTGCTCCAGAGTTTTGGGAGTTCACCCCTGAACAACTACAGGAGTCTGATAAAGTGACAGTACTTGCAAGAAGAGTGCTGGTGGGGACTCCAGAGTGGAGCAACTCAAGCAAAGGCAAACCCTCCATAGAATTGTTTTTGCTCAAGGACCTGGGTCCACTTGGTGGGTAATGCAGAGAGACAGGGAAACACAATGTGTACCACAAGGGGGTCTGATTTTTGGGTAAGAACAGTTTGTACTGTTGAACTGCATATATAACATTGGCTGCTGCATGACGCTGTCACTGTATGACCTAGCTGCCATGGGCAGGGCGTACGGACTGCTCCACATACTCCAATCTGAGCTCCAGGGGCAGCAGCCAGCCAGCAGCACAGCAGCCCCCCTGTCCTGGGAGACATCTATGGTGGGGAGAAGCCACAGTCATGGACCAAATGAACTCAACAGACATCTTGGAGGAGTGGCCATTGACTTTGGAAATGATACCTATGATTGTGTATATTTATGTATCTATGTAGTTGGAAGGTGCAGGATCTGGGTGGGACATAAGTGGTATAGAATAAGGGGGTATAGAATATTAAGACTGTTGTGATTTATGAATGGCTCTCCTTAGTTCAGTACCCCCCCACCAAAACTCTCTCAAATCACACCTTGCTCTCTCTCACTCCTACTTTCCTTTCCCCTTCCCACTGTGGTGGAATGGAGTTCAGAATTAGAGGCACAAAAGGTGAAGAAGATGGATGTAGATAAGAACAACTTACTGGAAAGAGCAATGAGATAAAAAAATGAGCAGTAACAGCAACAATATTATTAACAAAAGATACGGGAGAATAAATTATTTACACATTCCTGATAATAGATGGTACTGGATGGCGCCCTCCTCCACATTTTCTTGGCCATGAGGAACTTTCCTCCATGGAAGAGAGTCCCTTCCCCTGCCTCCTGCAGTGGTCTGAGTGCTGTAGAATAATTCCCATGTCCCAGGCATGCTCTCTCCTGGCTACTGCAAAAATTAACCCTGTGCTGGACAGAGCCAGGACAGCCACACAAACTCAGGGTTTGTTTCAGGGCTAAGGGCTGATGATAACCATTATCATCAGGTTAAGAAGATTAAGAAAATGCAACTGAAGGGAGAAAAACATTGATGCCAGATATCTATGGAACACTCTCTAGCATGGATCTGATTGCTGTCAAGATCAGAATTAACTGCAAAATTTGTTTTATTGCTGAGGAGAACCCTTCTCCCTAAGAGTCCCTCCAAAGAGCTAGTGCAAAAATAAGCTTATTAATGCCTTGGTCAGAAGGTGATTCATGTTGCAAGACAGTAGTTTTGATAACTACTAGAGCAGGCTCTATTGATCCTGCTTGTGTCTGGGGATTGTATATTAGGTGCTTGAGAAGCATATTGGTGTTTTTATTGCACAGTATCATGTATATAATTTATATAGCCATATGACTGTAATAGTTTTGGACTCAGAGTTGTACGGACTAAGGTGAAACTTGGTGTGGTGCTGTGGGCAGGTGTTCAGGTGCCTGGCAAGGCTGCCCTGAGGGGAGCAGCATCGTGCTGATGGAGTGGGAATCTGGGCTGTTGGCATGGCTTTGTCAGGGCACAGGAGTTTCAGGCATGTCTGCTGGTGCCACCATGTAGAGCCTTTCCCAGCCCTGGCCAGTGCAACTTGCACAGCTGTGTGGATCATATTATCTCTGTGGGAGAAGTAGGTTTTAAAGAGGATGAAAGGCAATGGAGGAAATGAAAATGCAGAAGTGGGGAGCTCATGGAATGTATGAGCCTTTTCACAGAATGTGGGAGGACTGTTCTATGTAGTAAATATCTGAGAAGTGCAATTAACTGGGCTTTTTGCATTATGTCCTCATGGGATGGGCTTGATTTTTAGTGCTGCAGAACCTGAATTTCATCGTGTAGCTGGTAGTCTGCCTGCACCAGATGAAGGCTCTTCAAGCTAGCAAGTCCTGATGCTGAGCTGAAGCTTCGATTGTCATTAGTCAAGTGCCTTTATTGGTAACATAAAGGTTGTGTCTGCTTGGGAAGGGAAAAACTGGAAAGATTTTGACCACTGACATTGTACTTTTAAGGACAAATCCAAGCTCTTGGCAGTCTAGACTTAATGCTGAAGCAGGATTGACCAGGTTTTTTCATATTTGTTACATAATTATGGCTGTAATAAATGTTTGCCTACAATGAAGTCTTTCTATTAAAAAAATACATCTGCAAAATTTCTGCTCTTGGAAAGTTTACTTCTATGTTTGATCATAATAATTCATTTTCAGATGTTTTATAGACCTAGAAGTCATCAGTGTTAGTGAACTGAAGTTCATATTCATATGTTATTACATAGTAATATGCTTTCATGTAGCCAGAAATTAAGACACATAAAATAGTTGTGTTTCCTCTTCAGGCTATGTCTAAATGCAGATCTGTCCAAAAGACAATTGAGCAGTGTGACTCTGATGCAACAAACACATTTGAAGATGTACCTAAAGAAAAAAAAAAGGCAAAAAAAAATAAAGCTGAAGAAAAAAATCGCTTCTTTCTGGGTGGTGTCTCATTTCCTAGGCAATATGGTGTGGTGGAACTCTGTAATCTCATTTCCTCTTGGTTGAGCTTTTTACTGCAGAGGCTTAAGTGTTGAAGTATATTTTTATGCCTCACCTTCTAATTTCTCATTGATGACTGCTGACAGAAAGTATGTAAAATGGCTTTCAGGATGTTCCATTTCCAATGACAGTATTACTTATTACTTACGGTTTCATTATTCTCATCGGTGAAAAGGTTAATAAATGTATATACTTCTGCAAGCAAGACAGGGTGATCTGATTATCTCTGTTAATATTTTCAGTTAATATTCGATCATGAGACAGTAAGCAGGAAACAGTGCTTGCTGGTTACATTCTGCTCTTTTAACGTGAGCGTGTAAATGTGACTTGCCTTGCCAGGCTTTAAGGATTGTCTGAAGCCTCTATTTATGGGTGGCATGTGAGTGCATGTGGCATATGGGTGGCATGTGAGCAAGTGATGATGTCCTTGGTCTGCAAAATTCACCCTATTGCAATTTAGCTGAAAATTAACACAGTCTGGCAAATCAGTAATTTAATTAGATAATAACTGCTGCCAGGATAAATTTATTTTCAGTTTAAAGAAATTTTTCTGTCTGTGAGGAAGTAGAGCTGTGTCACAACATGTGAGTAACAGCCAGGGGAAGTGCAAATGTGAGCACTAGAGGTCCCTTGATTTCCCTTGCTCCTCTCCCTTACTGGCCATGACATTATTAAAGCCAGTGGATCCTGTGAAGTACGTACATTGCACAGTCACAGATGCAGCAAATACTTCGTCCTGAGCTTAGGAGAACAAACACAAGCTTCAGCCTTTTCTGGACTGTCTGGAGTCCTTCAGGACCCAGGTGTGCAGGGACACTGGGGCTGCTCCTTCCCGAGGGGCTGTCCTTGCAGGGCAGGGACTGACCGGCTGCAGTGGGCACTGACCTTTAGGTCCTGCCTCCCCCACTGTCGTGCCTGGTTTGGTCCAGGAGCCCCAAACAGCCTGCACTGACCTGCCAGTCCTGCACAGGGCATCTGTCTGTCTGCCTGGGCTGGAGAGAGGGTTGAATTCTGACTGATGGCATGATTACCTCACCTGCCTGTTGAGATACAGAGCTTAATGAAACCAAGCAGTGGAAGTGTAAACTTACATCTGGCACTAGGTACTTGTCTTTTCAGTGTTTGATTTCACAGTCTTATTTGGTTAAAAAAGTAAAGAGTTTTGTTGTTTTCTTTTTGTCTTTTGGAAAAGTGTGTCATTGACTTGAGCAGTGGATATTATTTCACTGCTTTTTTCACCAGTCTCACCCCATTTAAAGACATTTAAGCAGCTTATATTTGGTGATCACAAAAGAGAAAGCAGTATTATTGCTGTAATATTCCAAACACATAGAGAGATAGGAGGAGTTATATTTTGTTCACCTTCAGTTATTTTCCTCACTAGAGTAAGCTGGTAATTTTTTTTGTATCCACTGAAGAAATGACTTGTGAAAGAACTTGTACAGAATGAAGGGAATGTTTGTAATTTGTATTACCAGTTTTCTCTTCTTTTGCAAAGGGTGTTATTCAAGATGTGAAAATCATCTTTATTCCAAATGGATATATAACACAGTGTCCTAATCTGAATCGCAGTAAGTAGCAATCTTTTATTGTCTCTATTTTAGATTTTTCATACAGATTCATACATACTCTATTTTTTAGATTTTTCATACAGATTGTTTCTTTGCTTTAAAAATAATACTTGCAGGCTTGTTATTTTTGCATGTGCTGATTTCCAGAAGGCAAGAATTCTGTATAAACAGATTGCATTTTATGTTCAGATAAATCTAGTATGATAGATTGTTGTTTATTTATGGGTTGTTGTGTCTTTCCTTCTTTTCTGTTTCTTTTTAAATCTTTCTCTATTGAGCATGCCCAACCTGCAGTGATTTCTTAAGTCTGGTGCAAGGAATCATGGATTTGCAAGAACTTCTGGCAAAAATGACTGCAAAAGTAGGTACCTGAGCTTTTTTTTAGTTGCCCGTTTCCTTCCTTTCCTTCCATAAGACAAAGATGAAAGTATTTATTCTATATGCCATTTCTTATACCATGAAAATTATTCTAAATTTTTGTAGTAGAGCAAATTTTTTTCTTGCTGTCTGCAGCAGTCTTATGGATATAGCTCTGTGGCTGTTCCTTAAGCTCAGTAATGTTCCTGTTGTCTGCTTTATTATTTGTAAGGGAGTGACAAAATACCCAGAGTCTGATTTTTTTTGTAAGAAGCCTTAGCTTGATTTCCCTTTTCATGTTGAGGGATAAATGCAGAAACAAAAGAGTGAAATCCCTCCACAATTTCCTCACCATGTGATGCTGTCAGAGTGGAAGGTTTTCTTGTGGGAAGTCCTGTGAAGTGTTCAGGACTGGTGTAGTCTCCTTCCTGGGAATTGAAATGAGCCCCCAAAATGAAAATGCCTGTGAAGCTGCTGACTACTGCTGACTGTGAAAGTTAGCTCAGCTCCAGGTGATGTGGTGTGTGCTTGGGTTTGTGCCTTTTTTCTTTCTTCTTTTCCCCCCCAGCTTTGGATCATGAGTAGGGTGAATGGGAATCTATAGTGTTTGGGATTTTTTTTGTTTGTTTGAAAAGTTTTCTTCAGGTTCTGCTCCTACAATACACAGGCAACCTGGATGTTAAACCAAGGCCCTACAGCAAGGCTGTGCTGAAGTTTTGAGATAGGAAACTGTGTTTTAGAGGTAACCAAACCCCTGATCTGTGTTAAAAGGAGAATCTGAACACGTTTTCAGGTTACTGTTGATGAACCATCTGGTTTGTGGTAGAGGATAGTTAATTGTCTCTTTTGAAACAGCACTTACATGTTAATTACTTAGATTTAAGTGCAGATGCAACCAACCTGTAGATGCCCTTACTCTCAGTGTAGTTACTGTAGGCATTTCCAAAACAGGATTTGCGTAGCAGTACTGCTTGTGTAAAAAAATAGTACTTTTTAATGCACTGCCTTCAAATGCTCTTCCCCTTCCCAATAGGAAAGGGGAAACTGTTTTTTGGAGAGTGTGTGCGTTATGCTGGCAATCCTCTTATTCAGCTGACATGCTTTGGACAGGCTGGATCCAAATGAAAAATGTGAAGCTTTTAGTTCAGTATTCTGCTTGTGCTATGAAAGAGAGGCAATTATTTTGAGCCCTGCTGGTGGTATGAACAAGTTCCAATTATGCAGTGTACTGAGTAACTTGCTTTCTCTGATGTTAATTATATTTTTGCTTGCTAGTACTTTATGAGGGGAAGCAAATAACACAGTATTTGTACTGCAAAGACTGTGCACTTTCATAAAGTGGTGCTGGCATAATCCTTCATTGCAAATTCCTTTTCTGCTACAGCAGTCCACTGACTGTTTTGTTGCAGTTGTTTCCTGTTGTCCAGGCAAAATGCATACAACGGGAAAGGAAATTAACTTGGTAAAGAAATGCAAGTTAAGAATAGGGGGTCTGGAGGGAAGCATTAAGGTTTGTATCTGCCTTTTAAGTCCTAACCACAATAGCCAAGAGTTACTAATGTAGACACAAGTATATTTTGTGGGGATGATGCATGTCAGGGCTTTGAAGGGCTGTGCAGCTGCCTGCAGAGATCCTGTTTGGCCTGGCCGTTGGTCAGAGAATGGCTGGCTAATTCCCAGCAGCAAGCATCCCTGATCCTGCACCAAGAGATGCAGGGCATGAACAAGATGTTTTGAAAAAGTGTCTTAGTGTCTTGTTGTTGCTTTTAGGCTCCGCTGTATCCAGATTTTAGCTTCTCTCTCAATCTGTGTTTGGTTAGAGCTGTATCACAGCATTGAATAGAGGAGCAAGTGTTGTTTGCAGTGAATGTGTATGTGCAGTTGATAGAAATTAAAATTATGGAGACTCAGAGCTGGGAAGGAAACATGCAGCTACTGGTTTCAGGCTCCAATAATTGTAGTAGCTGTGCAAGTTATGCAGAATGAAAGCAGGAAAGGGAGGCTCCCTCCTGCTTGGGCTGTACCTCTCCTGAGTCTGGTGGGCTCAGAGTGCGACACAGGGCCTGTGTGAGTGGTCCAGCAGGGCCCTGACTGTGGCAGATTGTCACAGAGTTCTATGAAAGGAGCATTTGATCATGACTTGTAGCAACCTAACCCCCCTTACGTCCTCTTCCTACCTGTGTTTTGTGAAGACATAGCTTTTAAAGATTAATAAAGATTATGAATTATTAACAATATGTAATAACTATTAATATTAATTAAAATTATCAATAATTTTAATAATTAAAATTATTAAAAATAATTTTAATTAGTTTTTAATTTTAAAATCCTAGCTTTTCAAACTTACTTTATTTTTGTCATAATTTGAATTAATTCTGAGTCTCTCCAGTAGATATGTTCAATTGATTGAATTCTGTGTCCTTAAATAGAGACACACTGTATGTCAGGGTGTTACAATCTGGCTAAAATGTTAATTTTCTGCAGGAGAAGAGGGTTGTGTTACATTGCAGCATTCCCCACTGCTGGGCTAGAGTACTCTTAGTTCCTTTAAATGTAATGGCTAAAATAATTAATATGGCTTTAACAATCTACTGAAATCGGTCTGGGCGTCTCCTGCACTTCTTTGAGGGGAATATTGCTTCTTTTGGTAAATTATGAGCCTCCACTAGGGTGTGCTTTGTATTCAGATGTGTTTGTTGCATGAAGACTTCCAGCACAGAAATTTCTACTGAGTTTTTCCTTTCTGGAAGTCAAAAAGGTTCAAGCTTGACTTTGATTCAAATCAAGAAAAATCAAGCACTTGGCTTCATTTATGGACTAGGCAATCTGCTTTATTTACATCATGGGTTTATATAGCCAGGAATACTTTCATGAATCACAAAATTTTCCCTGTAAGTTTTGATTTTTAAAAAAAAAAGTTTTGCATTTGTCATACCAGAAAAAAAAAAAATTTTTTTGAACAGAGGCCTGTCATCTTTCAGTTATTTGTATGGGCAGGGAAGGAATGCACATATTTACTGCTAAATATTAAGCTTGTCTTTCTATTGTAACAACAAGGAGTGTTCAGAGCTAGCCACAAGCCCAGGGCTTACTCCAGGAGCATGGTTTCTCCATTGGTTGTAGTGTGGGATGACCATGTACTAACTCCACCAAAATCTGAGGAATAGGGTTAGTTTTTACCTGCTGATTTCCTGGTTCAGTGTTTCGAAGGTTGTGGTCAAAGTTGGTTTTGCTAAAAATAAGTCTACTGGTTTTTGGTTTTTTTAATCATGTGTTTGAATTGCAGAAATCTCATCAAGTTACTTTCATTTATAGTTAAATTATGCAGAAACAAGACTGAGTCAATTGGAAGACTGTCATTGTGAGAAGACTTGTCAAGTAAATGGATTGATCTACAGAGACAAAGACTCATGGGTTGAAGATGATCACTGCAGGAATTGCACATGCAAAGTAAGAATTTCTGAAGAGTTTGAAGGATAGTATCTAATGAAAATGTGAAAATGGCCTTTGAATACATAATGTTCACTCTGAGAATTACTGTGTTTTTATTACGCATCTAGTGGCAGCATGGACAATAGAGAGGGAAATGGTAAAATAAATAAAATTTTGATATTAGTTATTTGTAAGCTTCATACATAAATCTGCCTTCCCTTGGCAGTGCTTTCTTACTTGTTATAATTATAGCTGTGAGGACTTTGTGGTTGTGGGGTGAAGGAGTGGCATTGTCTGTGTTTGGTTTGGAATTGTTTTCACTGCAGTAGCTTTTTCAAAGAGGAGGCATTATCTTAATAGTATTCATAGATGCTTAGTTGCATCTTGCATGGTAACAACTTGCAGATTCATTTTCAGCATTTATCAGACTGAAAAATACAAGGGACAGAAAGAGGATTAGTATGCAAAACTTGTATCTTTGAAATTATTTGATAAATATCTGAAGAGAGCCTTTGTTTGCTCAGGAAAATAGAAGCCTGATTGTTAAAAAACTCAAAGATGATTTGAACAGCGTACAGAAAGTAGGGCTTATGTTCTTGCCTTATGTTTTCCAATTAATGTATTTTGCTCTGGGTTTGGGGGTAAAACCAGTGATATGTATCAGAATTCAGAAGGCAGTTCACCTTCAGCTGCACTTTGATTCATTCTGATAGTTGGGTGGGATTAAATCTCTTACTGAAGGATAGGTTTGTAATCCAGAATGGCGTTTTCATTTACTTAAATAGTTCTTAGTGTTTTTTATAAAATACTCACTCATTGCAGCAGCAGTAGTTGAATTTTGTCCTAAACCCCTTTGCTCAGAGCGGAGTTGTGGAATGCCGGAGGATGTCCTGTCCCCCTCTGGAGTGTCCTCCCGATGCTCTCCCCGTGCACGTGGACACTCAGTGCTGCAAAGTGTGCAAGGGTGAGTACATCACACAGACCTCGCCGTTTTGCCTTCTGTTTCAGAAGAGTTAAACTTGTCCTGCCAGCAGGCACGTTTTGTAATGATTTTCAGACATCCTGGTAGTTCAGGTAACAGGAGTCATAGTGGCAAACATGATTTATGAAGAAAATAAATAATGAACAAACATTGCAAATTTCTGAGGTACTTTTTTACCTATTGTTAGTGTAAAATTATTCATCCTGTTGGGGGTTGAGAAGACTGACTTGGCTCGAGTTGGTATCTCCTCTTGATGTTGAGGAGCATCAAGCCTGTGGTCTGAACTTTCTTTTATGATGAGTAACTAACCAAGCTGTTATCTTTTTGCCTGTCTTTTATTTCAAGTTAAAAGGCTGTTCTTTAAAATAAACATGACAGTATATCAGACCCTGGCTTAATATCACTGTGTGGAGCCATAGTTTGCTGTAATTAATTTCCAAATAAATTAATGAGAAGAAAGAAAAGCTAAGTACATTTTGTGATTGGTGTTATTATCAACTTTCAGTTCCTTCTACTGGGAATGAAAGCTGTTAAGTAAGAGTCACAGAAGGAATATTCAATATTTGTTACTTTAATAGTAGTACAAGGAACAAAGACAATTTATGTATGAAAATTTTAGCTGTATACTAATGTCAGTTGTACCTTAAGAAGCTCAGATTCTCTTTCCCCTGATTGGTTCTGGAAGATGAGGAAGCATCATGCATGAGCTTTTCAATAATTTGTTAGGACAGGGATGTTGAAATATTTTAGGATTTATTAGGAAAATAATAGCACTTTTTTAGCATTCTGTCACCCTTCTTCAGTCATTGAATTCATTAGTTCCATGCACAAATATCCTTTAGCTGTGATCTTGCACTTGCTCTTGTTTCTCATGTAATCTCATTTCTCTCGGCTGTATGTCAGCATGAATATTCTGTATACTAAAAGATGTTCATGAACAGAGTACTTGGGTGGTAAAGTGGCCATGCTGGCCTGCATAATTTGTCTCAAAATATTTTTGTTTGTAACACTGGAAGTCTAGAAAGTTCTTTCACGAAACTGGATGTATGCACAAAAGTCAAAATCTGACGCAAAGAAATTGTAAGGCACAAAATTGTAGATTCCGTGTATACCCTCATGAGTAAACTGTTCCTGTTATTTGTAATGGGAAGATGAACAATCAGACTTGCCTTTTGTCAGTGATTGGCACAAACTTGACTCCTTATTCTGACAAGAACTCAGCATGTCAGTCAATAGGAAGAGACGTATGGAAGTTGATTGAAATTGATTGTAAATGCCAGCTCCTTGACAAAATGATGTGCTAGGACCACAGTTAGTCACCTCTAGGTAGATAGTAGTAATTGCAGAGGCTTTCCAAAGAGCTGCACTGCAGGTGTTATTTTCTCTGTGCTTTTTCTATTTAGCTCTGATAGAACCATCAGTTGTAATTTACTGTCTCTAGGGATTATTGAATGGCTGGGTTATTGAACACTTTCCCATCTTAGCTAAGGGTTAATGAGCAAAGCTCTAATGTCTGATATGTTAAGGGGTTTAGACAGTTCAGTTTTGATCCCTGCCACCTTGTGTTAGCATTTCAAATAATATAGTCTCTTTGGCAAAAGACTATAATTTTAGATATAATTTTTCTGAATCATACATTAACTTGCTTTCCATTCTTTCGTTAAAGCAAAAGTGTGTCCATTCTTTTGTTAAAAGCAGTCATGTCAGGAAAACAGACAGAAAGAAGGAAATGTCTCTATTTCAAATTCTCCTAAAAATAGTTACTGGGATTCCTAATTTAAACAAAGCGTCCTCATCTGAAGTTTTCTTCAGAAGTGAGATCACAACAAGTAAGGCATAAAAACTAGGGCAGCTTTTGAAAAACAAAGAAAACTAGGATGCCAATAGGAAGACTCCTCTTTTTAAGTGCCTTAGTGATGATGAAAACTGAGGTAGCCTGAAAATCATAATTTTTTTTTTTTCTTAAGAAATGAGCATTTTCACGAAGAGTCATTAGAAGCAAATTTATGTCTGAAGGTTCATGAAGATTGATCTAGCAGTCTCTTTGCTTAAAATTTGGGAATCAATCTGGCTGTGACAGTTGCTGCTGTGGAATTGTTGGCATCACCTGTAAGGGGGACACAATTGCACCTGTGAGTGCTTTCCTTACCTGGGCACTCAGGAGGGAAATTCAGGTGAAACAGTCCTAGATAGAGTGTGTCTTTTGAGAACAGACTGCTCTGAACACTTGCACTCCACGTGCGAGTGGCTTGACTCTCAAAACCTTAAAGCACTGTTCAGTTGCAACATAGGATTCACACCTTTTAGCTTTCCTTTCAGGGTTACAGGTTAGACTTTTAGTGGCCAAGTACAGAAAGAGCTGAAATGCCACAGCAGAAAAGTTATTTTATCAGTGTTTAACATCAACAGTGTAATGTAGGGTGTTTTTATAGTGGATACTTGATTTGTGTGAGATGGTAACAGTCCAGCTGCTCTCTTTAATTGATGGATTTACTGTCCTTCTCTGGAATTGGAATTTAGACATGTAGTTGCATGGGGACTGTGTTAATTCTGGTCATAATTGACCAAGCTGTTTGCTGCTGTGGCCCTGATGCCTGTTCCTTCTTCCTGGTGGCAGTAGTCCCAAGCTAGGTGACTTTGCCGGGAAGTGAGCGAGGAATGATCACGTGTTCCAGTCTGCTGGTTCACTTGTGGAGCCACTTATCTTTGGCAAAAGGGCCAAAAACCTCAGACAAGAGTTTTGCAGTAGGAGTTCTTAGTTTCCTGGGAAAATCCTACATATTTCATGTGTGCCTGAAAAATATTTTCCTGAAATAGATTTTTGCAGTTTGTTGATTCAGTAGTCATTCACTGCGTCCAATCTGTTTGTGCAGTCCTCCAGTAAGTTGAAGAGTTCACCTTTGTGCCCACGAAAAAATATGAAGGCTTAGTTGAAATCTGTGCTTACATTATTCTTGTGATGAACTGGATACTGATAAATGTATCCAGTTCTTGAAGTGAATCATGAGGATCTCTGGTAACGCAAATACTGTTAACTATTACTACTCTACAGGATGTTGGTAGTGAAAACATTTTCTATTGAATTATAGGTTATTTAGTCCAGGACATATTGTTTATGCTCCTATTCCCTCTCTTTAGTTTGGGTAAAGAGGCTACTTTCTCTTAAAATGAATTTATTCTTCGTTACTTTGTTTGTAATTATATGTGATACTGACTTCTGATCAAAGACAGGAAGTCAGTATCACATATAATTAATCTGATTCATCTTTTTCTGATGAAAGCAAAATGAATCATATTTTTAATGTATTGATATTTTTCAGTGTATGTGAGTACTGGTTTTGCTTCTTTGTTATACCTTGCATTTATTTGCTGCTTAAATACTGATTGAATAAATTTTTAATATCCCTTCTCCTCTCGAATTACAGCAAAGTGTATCTATGGAGGCAAAGTGCTAGCAGAAGGTCAACGAGTATTAACCAAGAGCTGCAGGGAATGTCGAGTAAGTTTCAGTTGTATAAACCTTTCCTGTTTTTAAATGTATCTGTGGTGTTCAGAAGTGACAGTGAAAAGTTAGTGCATTTCTTCAGGCTTCCTTCATGCAAATGTGACATCTGTTGTCTTGAAACAGGTGACCTTGAAGTCACTGAAAGCCACAAATACGAAAACAAGGCAGGAATATGACCCTTGCAGGATAAGAAAAATATGGGCAAAATTATTTGGAAGAATGTTTTCTCTTATCTCTGCTTTCATGAGCTTTAGAAAAAAGTAACAGCCTCTTGAGAAAATTACTTATTTCAGCCAAATTGCTAAAATTTGAAGCAACCTTCTTGTTATATTGTGTGAGTTACCTATATTTTCCCTAGGATTGTTCAAACTATATATAGCTCTTCTAATAATTGAGGTAAATTACAGAATATTGGAGTGGACTGAATTCTTTTTGGCAAATTCATGACCTTTGGACTATGACAGTCAGTATTTAAGAGCACAGGTGAATGGAGGCTCTGTTAGCTCCATTCTGGGAGTGTTGGTGAATGTGCATTGGAAAAGATGACAGTGATCTGGTTATTATTGTGCTTGGAGATCAGTGTACAGAGTAGCAATTTTATGTTCACTAATGGAAATGGACAATAGCTGGTTGCAGATGTTGTGAAAACAGCTTGTTATGCAGAATTACTTTGCTATTGTTACTGTTGAGCTGTACGGGGTGCTGTGCACTGCATATACAAATATGTGGGCAAGGTTGTTGCCTTGGAAGGCAGACTAAGATGCCTGTTATGTATAATATGACATGGAATGTTTATTTGAGTGTGGAAGTACATGTATAAAATGAGAACAGGAGTATTTTCATGTTAAAGTGAAATGAGAGAGGGTGATCTGAATTAAGTCTGTGGAACTTCTCTGTGCTATAAATAAGAGTGTTATATTCACCATTAGGAGTATGATAATACACTCAGGAAAATTAAAAGCAAATACCAATCAATCAAATATCTGTCATTAGGAATGAGTAAAATAATGAAAACAGCTTTTGTATTTTGCTTATTGTTAAAAGGAAAATGATATGGCAATGTTAATTACAGTAACATTGCAGTTGGTATTTGCATCTTAATTGACAGTATTGCTAAATATTCAAAATGGCATTTGTGAATGTTACACCATAAAAAAGTTGTTTGATGCATGCCTTCAGAAACAAACTGAAGTTCTGTCCACAACTGTGCTTCAACAAAATATTAAACCTCACTGGCCCGGGGAGAGTTTTGATGAGAGTGCTTGCATCTGTTTCTGTGGGCTGGTGTGTCTCTGCAGGAGATTCATTCAATATGTCTTCAGCATGACCTCCTATATCTGACCTACTTGTCTACTGCCTCAGGAATGTTCCCTAGATGAAGGATGAATGGTGATGAGTCAAATTGTGGCTGTGTCATTGCTTTCTGTCCTGTGTGGATAAGGTGTTGTATGAAAAAAGGAGGGACTTTGTCGTAGGGGAGGACCATACAAAATTTAATATGGTTTAATTTTCCAGACTTGAAAAACTGACATTAAGTTTCAAAAGCTGCTGATCCATGAAGGAATACAGTGGAGGGTACACATCTACTGTCAATGTAATAGTGTTGATAAAGATGACTTAAAAATCTTTGTCTCTGTAAAGGAGGATATATTTGTAAGTGGAGTAATGTCAAAAATATTAAGTTGAAATTTCACATTTCAATTTTTATTTGAAGATAGATTCCTTGTTCTTTGCATAGGTACTGATCCAAACTTATGAGGCTTTTAACTTATTGATATTTCCATCTAAAAATATATTATTACTACTGATAAATCCAGCTAGATCAAAGATTTTCTTTATCAGGCTGAGAGACTTTTTTTAATTTTTCAAAACTAATCCAGGCTAAAAATATTTATGATGTACATCCTCTTAACTGTAAGCACAGATGTTATTCGTGAACAATCATTCCCAGCTGGAATCCTGCCCACAAACACTCTTCAGATGAATCTGCAACAACAAAATGGGTACACAGGTATTTCTAACAATCATAGAACAGTTCAGATTGGAAGGGACTTCTGGAGGTCTTCTTGTCCAACTATCCTGGATGAGCAAGGTTCCTGTAGCCGTTTGCCCAGGACCACGTCCAGATGGCTTTTGAGTATCTCCAGTGGAGACTCCACAGCTTCCCTGGGCAGCCTCACAGTGCAGGAGTGTTTCTGGTGTTCACATGGGCCCTGCTGTGTTTCACTTTGTGCCTGTCGTCCCTGGTCCTGTCACTGGGCACTGCTCAGATGAGCCTGGCTTCATCCTCTTGGCACCCTCCCTCTGGGTATTTATATGTGTCTGTAGGAGCTCCTCTGAGCCTTCTCCTCTCCAGCCTTTCCTTCTGTGAGATGCTCCAGTCTATTATTTATCCTCATGGTCCATGGCTGATCTCTCCCAGCTTTTCCATCTCTTGTGGTGAGAAGGCCAGAAAATGTAAGTGTGTATGAGCTTTTGATAACTGCACCTTTGTGCAGTCAGTAAGTGTTTGATTTTTTTTGTTTGTTGGTTTGTTTAGGGCTTTTTTTGGTTTGTTTTTCACCCATATGGTGATGTGGGCCATTGAATGTCAATGGAAAGATATTTATAACTTTTTTTGGAGTGGGAATTTGCAGTTGATCAGCTGCCTGTGAATGACATGATGCCTGTTCATAAACAGATGACTTGCTTGATAGCAAAGTGTACAAAAATAAATACCTCTTCATTAATGCTGGGAGCTGACAGTCACAGTGTGCTGTACAAGACGGACAGGGCCCACAGCTTTCAGGAAGGTTGACTAAAATTTTTTTTGCAAAGATAAGGAATGATTGAAACTGTGTCCTAAGAGACTGATCAATACCAGCTTGTTGTGGCTTAGGAGTGATACTCCTGGATGTGGTGCTCTCACTGAAACCATGTCTCTCACTTCCCTGGGTGGGATGGAGAGGACAACTGGAGGCACAAAAGCTAAAGGTCACGGGTTGAGATAAGAACAGTTCACTGGAATCAGCAAGGACATAAGAAAATAAACAGTAACAGCAATAGTAGTCATGACAAAGGGTACAGGGAAGAAGTGATCGATTCACAGGGAACAACAAAACCCGACTGCTCCCTCTGGACCCCACCAGCCCCACCTCAGAGTGAGGTGGTGCAGAATAACCTCCTGTCCTGGCCATGCCCCTCCTGGCTACTGCAGAGATCAACCCTGTCCTGTCTGGAACCAGGGCAGAGAGAAATTCAGACAGGAAAAAGCCCCCCACCAAAATAGCCTTACCTGAATCTTGCAAATAATTTTCAAAGCTGATCGTGTGAGATGAGCTGTTTATTGTTCAGAGTTTTACTGCATGTCTCTGATTAGGCTTACATCCAACCCTTTTTTTTGTGTACTTACCTTGGTAATTACAAGAAATTTAATTATCTTGTTGTAATTTTTTGACTTCAGATTGCATTCTTTGTGGATTGTATGTCACAACTGAAGCTTGATATATTTATTCCAGAAAAAAATGTCTTTTTGACATCTATTTCTATTCACATTCTATGACTGCTACATATGTGAATTGAATATAAAAAGGAATAATTTTTCTAAGGCTGCCTGAAGCAATAATTCTGAAGTGTGAACTCTTCTTACTTATCTCAGTGGATAAAATGTGAAATCTGATGATGATAATTCTTATAATTGGATCTGTACTAGTTTATAACAAATTGATTTTAACCCAAAGAATACTCAACATGGAAATGTTTTAATTGTTTTAAAACTTAATTACAAATAAGTTTAATTTGCTTTCCCAAGATGCAAATTCTGCAGAAAATAGAAGACTTAAGGAAATAAAATCTTACTGTTGTTAAATTAATGGAATTCTCAATTTGTGTTGTTTAATCTCCTTGTGAGTCACCAAAGAAGCAGTGAGCTTGGAATAAATTTGTCTTTAGCTTTTTGACTCATCCTGACACTCATTTGACTTTCATACCATTTCTTGCCATATTTTTCTGGCCAGATTTATTGTCAGTCAACACTTTTTGTCGGTATGATGACATACTTTACTCTTTCTGCTGTAATTGTCCTGTCTGAGCTTAAATAGGCAATGAGCTACAGCCAGAGCTTTTCTAGGTGGTTGTTTGATAACGTGATAGTAAGTGATGGCTCAGTGTCTGGTTCTTTTATCACCTTTGATCCTGCAGTTGCACAGACAGGCGTGGGGGATTCCTCCTTTTCCCCTGTGGAAGTGAGATCAGCCGCAGACAGAACGCCTCCGTTAACTTCTCTGTTCTAGTAGCCACTTGCTCTGATGATGTGCCCTCTGTGCTGCCGGAGGGAGCTGCTTTTTCTTACAAATAAATAAGAAGAGCAGATGCCTGTGGGGTTTTTTTAGTAGTATTCATGACAGCAACTGGTGCAACTTGCCAGTAAAGGCAATTGGCCCTTCTTAGCCTGAAGGATGTAATGTCAGGGGCAGTGATGGGCAGTGATTGCAGAGTGGTCAGATCTGCATTCCCTGGGCCGGCTGCGCTTCCCAGCTCTGAGTTCTGCAAGTCATTTGTGCCTTGTAGACTCAGCAGGCATTCCCTAAGTGTGTAGGGCAGCTCAAGGCTGTGAGATCTCCTTCTGGAGCCTGGAGGGGCAGGGCTGAGTTGGTGCAGTGAGGTGAAGTGGCAAGGCTGATGGCCAGCAAAGGTTTTTACCTGTGTGAGCCTGTGCTTCGGTGTGGTGTGGTGCAGTGTTGTAGTTATGAGAGCAGGCTTCTGCACTGGATGTTTCTTCATGCAGGGTGTGCTCGCAGGTAATTTCAGTATCCTCTGTTCAAAGTCGTGTATCTGCTCCTTCAGATTATGAGAATGATGACTTTAATGAGGATTTGTCTGTTTTTTGGTATTGGTTTTCCTCTGCTTTCCTAGACCTAGATATGTTTGGATCGTATTTTTAAACTTGTCTCTGCAACCGTAATAACTGGAAAATGAAATTTCTTCATTGGAGGAAAGCAGAAATTCTTATTCCACCTTTTTGTTCTGACATCTGAGTTTTATGACGAATATTCTGGGAGGAGTGAGGACTAGACTGATGTTAAAAAGGGGTTTTGGCAACATAGCAGGCTGCTTGCTTTCTTAGTGGAGTTTCATAACTTGGAAAATGAGATTACTCAGGTGTGGACAGTCTTGTGGGGTAGTTACTGTAGTTCCTACTGAGCAAAAATCCTAATTTGTTTTTGCTCCACTTGCTAGTTTTCAGTGATGGCATAGCTGCAGAAGGTGCTGCACAAGTAAATCATGGTATGAAGAAGGCTGGAGTGGGGGATAAGGTAAAAGAGGAGGCTATTTTGGGACAAGATGTTAAGAAACAGTGAACTAAGTGCTGGAGAGCTGTTTTTTCTGGAGACAGTGAGGCTAATCTGCTGGATGGGCGAAGATGGAGTAAAATCTGGTGGAAAAATCTCCCCCTGAAGGCTCTATGTCTATGATTACAGAAAGTTTCTACCAGCATCACGACCTTCTATTGCAGTCTTGTTCTAAATCTAGAAATCAAAATCACAGCAATGTTTTTAGCTTGAGTTTTACACAGTTTCTGTAGGGATTTCTCAAGATGAGCTTTCTTCTCTGAAGGATCAAACTTTGGAAATAAGTTGATCAGTAATTCTAAAGAACAGACACTTGGATATGACAGAACAAAACAACGCTTGAAAATATTGGTCTTGCTGTGTAAATTGGAGTTGAATAACTTACCAGTGAAGTATGTGGACTGTGAAATAAGAGGAATAATGCTCAAATTTGCAGAAAGCAGGAAGGCTATCTTTAAGCTGGAATGAAATTCTTAAATTCCTTCAAATACTCGAAAAGAAGATGACTGTAATTTAAGGCTACATATTTGATAAAACTAGCATAGAATTTTGAGCTGAAGTGCCTTGTCTTTTAATTTTTTTTTTTTATTTTGTTTTATGCTGGGCAGAGAAATGCACAGCAGATTACTCTAGATTTGATGTTATGGTGGAACAAATGAGTTTAACTTCCTTCTTGCTAATTTACCAGTGTTGTTACTGGAGATTACTAATGCTGTGGATGGAAAAGTATGTGATCCTTGCCACTACATGTATTTTCACCAATGTAATTTTTTTAAAATGTTGTTTATTTTCAGAATGGAGTTTTAGTAAAAGTAACAGAGACCTGTCCACCGCTGAACTGCTCAGAAAAAGATCACGTTCTTCCAGAGAACCAGTGTTGCAGTGTTTGTAGAGGTAAGCCGGCTTGGAAGGAATATAAATTGTTGGTTCAAGAGGGGAATACATTGAAAAGAGCAATTCCTTTTTAACGAGATATTAAGTACCTCTATAAGCATGATTCTAAAACCAATCTGTGTTACTCCTTAGGTTAGAAGACTTACCAGATATAAAGCTGTAATTGCACTGAATGAGGCAGGAGGAGGGAGAAAAGGAAGAGCTGGAGGAGAAGAAACCATTATCTCCTAAAAATTCCTATTAAAAGGATGTTGTATTTGAAAAATAAATATATTTTGTTGCTTAAACCTGCAACGGCAGTGTTTTGAAAGTGTTTTTTGAAGGTTTCTATTTTAAAATCTCAAAAATAGCATTAAGATTCTAATTTGATGGATATTACCAGTTTGGTTTAGGTATGAGCATTCTCAGGACTAATTTATGCATTAAGCTGGACAATGAAATAGTACCAATGCAAAACAAAAATAAAAAAATTAATGCTAGAGCTCAGAACCTCATTTCTCCTCCTTCCAGAGGATGTTGAGATGCAGTTTCTTCTTCCTTTCAGCCATGTGAGTCCTGGTTGTAGGCTGGACCAGACTGAACAGGCAATTATTAAAATCTTAATTGAGGAAATCCCCTTAAATGAGGAATGTGCAGGTATCACAAGGTTAAGATGTGAACAACCTTTCTTTTTAAAACGTGTTCTAATCGGTGAATTGCTTGGTGAATAATCATTCCCTATGTGTTGTATTTCTGTTCCTCATCTCTCCCTTGGTGCTGAGTCTCAGCTGAGCTTAAAGGGAGCCTGGTCTCTCAGGTCTCACATGTCAGCCTTTAGTGTTGCACCTCAGAAATTCAAGCAAGAGGTGTGCCAAATGAGCATTAAACATTTGCGGGCTTAGATGGCCATTGAGGTCTGTTGGAATATTTGTCTTGCCTGCGTATAAATTCCTCCAGTGCCATTGCAGATGGCAACGAAGGGGCTCTAAATCTATCCCTCTGCCAGTAAATATTAATTAGTAAATATGCATGGTTAAATATTTACTTAGGCCTTGAACTTAAAAACACATGCGTGTGGTTGCAGCATGTTTGAGACTCCCTGCTGGGTCATGGGCTAAGAATATACACATTAATTTTTTTTAGTAGTTTCTAGAAACATCTGCAACTATTTAAGCAAGCAGTAAATTTTGCTTCTCTGTCCCTCAGAGGGCTTGATGTCTTAATGATACTTCTTAACAGATGGCCCAATTTGATGTTGTGCAGTACTGAAAAAGAATGTATTCATTACTTAAAAGGATTAGAAATATGAAAGCTTCAAAGTTGATGGAAGATAAGTTCCATAATTATTGACTTGCATATTATTGTTAGTGATAGGTCCTCTTTTTAGATATTCATTGCCAAACTGGCTTCATTATTTATAATGCAAGATGAATATGTGATGATCTCTAGAAGCAAGGGACGAAATTGTATTTTCCCTTCCCAGGAATTCTGGTACATGATGCATTCAATTTGACACATTAAACTTTTGCTTCAGTTCTGCTTTAGCTGACTGCTAAAACAGTACCTCCTCTTTCTGTATTTCATCATGGCTTTTTAAAATTCTTTTGAAAATGATGCCTAAAGATATGATTAATTTTGTCAACTTTACAAAGGCATAAATTCCATTTAGTATTCATCAGTTGCTTTTTATATCTTGAAGTAGAATATATGCTGCTTGACACTTTGCTTCAGTTGCATGCAACACAAAGTGGTAGTGTATAACTTTATCATGTGCTGTTGTTAAAAATGGAAATTTATTAAGAATTCCATATTTGGTGTGGGTTTTATCTGGCAAACAGGTGCTGTCTGATATGGCAAGCAGGCCACAGTTTCTGATCCTGTCCTGTGCCAGCATATCCTTTACTGGGAAAGGATAGATTGCTTTTCTTGTTTGCAAAAGTGACTTCTTTCAGAGACTATATTCAGCTTCTTTTTGTCCAAGCCAAAGTAGTAAGGAAGACATATTGTAATAATTGCTATCCTGAATAAGGAAAATTTTTTGTTGGAAGGCCACACAGATCATTTGCACATCATATGCAAATTTCACATTGTATGTATGATGATGCAGGTAATTTGTTGTGTTATTCCTTAGCTAAGCCTTAAGTTATTCAACAGAATATTTAGCAAGCTTTTACTAGCAATGTTAAATAAGAATATTATTTCTGTCTTAAGTTTAATAGTGCATGTTAGTGACTGCTAGGTTCTGGGATTTGTAGCAGTTTGTGTGTTTTTAGTATTTGTAGTTGTGGAAACAGAAGACTTCTACTGAATTTCATGGTCTGTAGAATTATATAATATATTTGCTGAATTGGGCAAGGTGACAGGTTTGCATCTTGTGCTTTTCTAGCTGCAGCAAAGGAATTTCTATTTAATGAAGGGATAAATATGAGGGGATCAGCAGAAGGAAAGAAAATCACAGAAGTACAAAATCTTTACGATGCTGTGGTATGAGACTGTACCCTCCGAAGTGATCTCTGTAGTACTTACCACAATAATAGATGAGTGCCATAGGTTGTGCAGGGCAAAACATAAATCTGTGGTGTTTATGGACGTGGAAATTGTGAGTCAGCAAAGAAAAGAATTGAGTACTGTTATATACAGAGCTGGTGGGCTTCCTAGATAGTCATTATTGTTTGTAAATGGTAGGAAAAATAAAGACAGCCGATAATGCCTGCTCTTCTCCAGGCTTGCCCCATGAGTTTATAGTATTGCAGAAGGTAATAGCATATTGCTAAGAGGCAATTTCTGGATTTTAGGGAAGTCATTGTGTGAGGTGTACAGCAAGGTGAGAGTAGTATGGAAGAGCTCTGCTTTAAAATGACAGTTTATTCTAGTGATTTAATGTACTGAATGCATAAATGGATCTCACCACTTCTGTGTATGGGATCTATCCTTGGCTGTTATGTATAGTATATACAGTTTTTCCTTTCATCTCTGTGCTTTAATATAAATGTCTACTTAAACTTTGTGGCCACTTTATACTTTCCAGCAGGACAATGTGGTGTTATTAAACTGTCTTTTAGGCTTACAGAAAATTTAGTTAATTTTTAAGTTTCACAAAGAATCGTGTCACAAAATACATTTTTTGCTACTTTTGAGAATCACTCATTTTTCTTACAGCATGCCTGCTACATTTTTTATAGCCCAGGGACAAAACTAATATAAAAAATAGTGTCATGAAAGTGTTTTATTGTTCCCTTTAGCTGTTTTTCTCCTTGTCCAAGACAGTGTATAATTTTGAAAGAGTGGATTTTTTTTCCTCTTTTGCATGAGTGATTCAAATAAAACTTCATGAGAGAATTTTTATGTTGTTATGCTCACAGTTTTAAATACGTAAAAATAGCCTTAACAGTCTTAGTAACTTCAGATGTGCTCTTCTTAAAAGAAAGAGTGTGATGAAATAATGAAGTAGTGAGAGTGGTTTTGTTTCTAGGGAGAATAATTATTTGCTGTCCTGCAGTATGGTGGGCTGATGGATTTAGATTACCTGCTGACACTCATTAGGAGGAAAGGGAGAATCTTATTGATGAGGTGAAGCATACATTTTTACAGCAGGGAGCAGCATTTAATTCTAAAATTGGGGCTTCTGTCACCCTTCTTTGTGCTGCTTTGGGAAGGTTTTTAGTTTTTCAGTTAGAGGGTGAGAAGGCTCTTCAGTTGTGCATGTTTCTGATCTCTTCCTGCCTGGCTGAGATTTGATTCTTCAGAAATTGAATTTTTCCATTTATTGCTATGAGGTAGGAGTTATTTCAAGGTTTTAGATTTATTAAGATTTAATGGCAGTTGATAAATATGAATTAGTTTATTTCTAAACATAGTTGTAGCATTACTTAGGATTTAGAAGAGCTTTCTGTCTGAAAAAGAAGAAATCTTTTTAAGCTTGTTAGCCTGTGTAGTTACCATTATTCTATTGCACACAGATAAGCACTGTGTAATAAGCTCTGCATTCATAGAGCAGCTTGAAAGAACGTATGAATTTGCTGTTTTATGTCAGACCACTGAGTTCTGTGCCCACAGTCTCTGAAGGTGTAAAAGCTGCTGTTTGAAGTGCTGCTTTGCACATGACTCATTAAAAACTGATTCAGTTCGTGGAAAGACATAATTGCTAATGCAAATTTTAACACTCTTCCATGACTTCTCCCTCAGATTTACCTTACATATTTATATTGTAACTGTGGGGTTAAATCCTAACAGTAGCAAAGATTTTGAGATTGAAACTACCTTGGATTTTTGAACATTGCTGGTGCTTTAACAGAAGCATTATGACAATTTTTGTTTGCACATTTAGAGATTTCTCGATATAAAACATTGAAATGGAGGATATCTTGAAGAGCAAGAGAAGAGGTGTTTTACAGTTTTTCATGTGAACAGCTAAGGCTATTGTAAGAAATGTAGAAAACTGTACAGAAGTTAGAAGGAAACCCTCAGAAACAAGGAGAGGCACATCAGTGTTGATCATAAAAAAAGTAGGAAGAGATACGGGTCCAAAATGTATTGATTGCAGCTGTAATCTTGAATGAGATATTGCATTTACAATCAATAATTAAGCCAAATTACCAAATATGTTAGGTATGTAAAAAAAAATTGGATGACAGCATGAAACAGCTTAGTGTGCTGTTCTGCAAAAGCAGGTTCTGGGAACCACAACTTGGAAGATGTTGCTTGGAAAAATGAGAGCAATGCTCAGGTGTTCCAAAATGGAATACATTTTTAATTTGAGGTTTCTGAGCTGGGGCCACTAAGGCCTAGCCAACTGTGCAGTTCCTGATGCTGCAGAAGTGATAGTTTTATGGCTGCTAGTATTTGGCTGATTCGTTTCCTAACTGTCTTAGTACATTTATTAATGGTCATTCTATATTCAGAAGGAAGGAGTAGAAAGACATTTGTATTTCTTGAGAAAAAGATGGAGTAAACATTTCAGCAGCCTTGATGAAGGAAGAGAGTAGTGTTATCAGAAATGTCAGGGGAATGGACAGAGGTCATCAGGCCTATCAAAAATCTAAACTCACTCTTCAGTATTTAATTCCCCTGGTAGCATCTAATTGTGTTTTGAACGACTTTGAAGGGCTGTTGTGCACATTTATGATTGTGTGTGTATGTGCAGGGAAGATGGTTTCTGGCATCTGTTCTGAACACATTAATCTGAAATTTTAATTCATACTTGCCTTGTCATCTGTGCTGGCCTGAAATTAGTTAAGATTATCAGAACTGTTTAAGATTTTCTGTGGTTTTGTTAAATCCTCTCCTGCCTGCTTGCTGTGATGATTCTATTTTAAGTCATTCTTATATTTAGAGAGGAGCTGACTGTCTCAGATAAGACTTTGCTGAATATGCTGAATGAATATTATTTTGGCCGGGCAATGGAGATGCATACCCACTGCAATCTCCCACCCATGTGAGATTTAGGGAACCTACTTTAGTATCAGCAGGTGGTTTGGCATCTCTGTAGGTATTTTTTAAGGAATCCTGTGAGCCATTTCACACCAAAGAATTAATAAGAATCAGATATTTGGCTCTAAAACTTGTGCTGGGGAGAATTTGGACCAATGTCTAAGAAATCCAAGAACCACACTTCCTTGATATGCATCTTTTAGCTCTTTTGAAGTGCTAATTTTGCATTTTTGCTGAAAAAAAAGATAAAGTATCTCTGGAAAAACCTCTGATGCAAGCAATTGTGTACTTTTTCTGACAGAGGCACAATGAACCCTTGCTCTTCTGTTCTCTCAAGTACATTTTTTCCTGCTGGTTAACCTTAAATTGCAGTTGTTTTGTAAAAGCTTGGTAACATAAAATGTTGAAGCACCATGTGTGCTCTTAGCAGGAATGGCTTCCACTATCCCCTTACAAAGGTATTGAACAAGTCTGCTGAAATGCTATTGGAAAGTGAAGTGGAGTCACTTCTAGACAGCAGTTTTAACAGATAGCAAACAGTGTTTCACAGGTCTTTTGTAATAATAAATGCCAAGACTGTCTAGAGGTGTAGTGCATGTTCTATGATGGTGTATTCCTAATGACCAGAGAAAAATGGAATGTCCTTCAGAGCCTTTATTTTCTCAAGTTAAAGAACTGGAGTTACTTCTCCAGTTATAGAACTGGAGTTACTGGAGTTACTGCATTTTAAAAATTAAATATTGAAATTAATTATTAAAAGTATTGAAACTATTATGTAAATATAAAATATATATTAAAATAATTCTTTAGATTTTTTAATGTAATGCTCTTTTAATAGCCTCAAGCTTGAAACCTGATTCTGGATAGAGACTGTTCATATTTGAGGTGCTAAAGGAAACAAAATCAATGCTGATTTTTCGAGAGATTTTTTTAAAAAACAGGTGACAGCTTTAGTGGCAAAAATGGATAGGTAGGTTAGCCATCATATCTACACATAGGTTTCAGAGGTGCCAAATAAACAATGAAGGATTCACAGGACTGTGATGTGAAAAGTAATCACTGGTTTGAGCTTGGGAAGAAGTGCTGTTAGAGTGGTTGATCTGGGACCTGGGACTTGTGATTGGAGCTAACTCTGAGAAGCCATTGACTTGGCTAATTGTCTGAAATTTGCCATGAGCTGATCATAAGGTAAAATGTTGACTCACTGGGACAAAAAGAGCCTGGAAACACAGAAAGTTGCATGATGCTACATACCAGCACTCTTGTAACTAAAATATACTGAGAAAGATGAAATGTTTTTTACAGGTTTGGATGAGAGGGAAATAGAACTAAATATAAACCAAATGCACTGAGACAAAGTAACAATCCATGTGATGTTTTCATACTGCCTAGCTCAATACACTGCTATGTTACAGAGGTTCTGACCCAATAATAATTAAATCAAGCTCCTGCTGTGTATGAGCTCAAAGGAGAATTATTATTCTAAAGAAGCAGGAAACAGACTAGGATGTTATAGTCTTAGGGGAAACAATGACAAAGAAAATATTATCAAACTCATTGTCTCTTGGATGTTATCTGGAATGCCAGTAGGATAGTAATCCTGTGTGGGGAGGATAAATCAGATGCTGAATGGATAAGTTTGAGGAGATGGGTTCCAGTGTTCAGTTTCAATTATAGTTATAAAGGCAAAAATGAGAAGTCAAATACTGTGATTGCATAAATGGCTAAAGGCAGTGTATTGGCACCCTGTTTTACCAATCTAAAATGTACCTGGGCTTGACAAAGCTGGATATGGAATACTTGAGTTGTTTTTACCAGACTGTGAAATGAGTAAAGACTAAAAGGGATAACTGAGGTTTTCATTAAGGGGATTGGGTCTTTTTCTCAAGCTGGATTACAATGAAAGAAGGAGCCAGCTGAGCACAAGGAAGATACCTTGGCTGTTAATAAAATGAATTTGGACTTTAAGTGTGGAATTGGATGTTGACACTGCTAACAAGTGTTAACATTTTAAAAAAATTACCTCAGAACTCAACATTAGATGATCAGACACATAAATCTGGAGTGCACTAAGCTGGCATAGCCAGAGTGTTAAATTAGTAGACAACTAAAATGTGTGTGAAAAGACAATAAAATATGATTTCAAAGCAAGGGATAGAATACTAAAAAGACATTAAAATATGATATTAAAGTAAGGAATATGAATAGAGACCTGAATCTGGCATTTAGATGTTAAAGTCTGGGTTGTGTTTTTCTTAACTGTTTTTAGGGGGTGTTAGGAAGTTTATGATCAGTGAGTGAGAACTTTTAGTTTGCTCCTTTATGACCAGGCGGAACTGGCAGAAACTGTTCTGGTATTCAGGTAAGCACAAGCTGGAATACCAATAGATGATGATATGTGTGGGTTTCTGCTTTTCCTCCTTCCAGGACAGAAAATGGATATGAAATAGGGTTTACCAAAATGACTGCTTATATCTCTCAGACAAATAGAAATGGACTCTTGGATATTAATAGAGAAAAATCCATAAAACATACATCAGTGGAGGGAGGAAAAAAATCCTATTGTCAAATCTATAAGTTATTTCTTAACTTCCAGTGGAGTGCATTTAGAGATGAAGTTACAATTGCTTTCACTTTAGACTTAAGGGGAGAAAGATGTTGTCATGTCTCTGAGAAATACTGAAAATCAGAAAGAAAGAATTTCAGCCACTTTTACCTTTACAAAAGGAGGTGGGGAAGTTCATCCTATTTCTAGAAATGACTGTATGGAATAAAATAAACTGTTCACAAAGAAACTACTGAGAACTTGCGTGAAGGAAAAAAGAGAGATTAATAAAAATTCTCCTTGATAGAACATGATGCATGGAATAATTATAAACTGTAGGAACAATTGAGCTGGTTTTTGATGACAGAATTACAAGGCAGTGTATGAGGTTGCTTTGACTACCGCTACAATTTTGTGCAGTGCCTCATTTTGGTCTACTAAAAGTACATGTGGCTATGCGTAATAAGAGAATTTTGAGGGCTTTTTTTCTTATATTACACTTCATTGTCCTTTTGATGTAAGTTATTTTATTAGCATTGCACTTCCTGACAATCAGAGACTTAATGCTACATGGCTTCAGTAGAACAGTAATGAATTGTCATTGCTTCCTGCTTTGGAGTTGTCTTTTTTCTGAACAAAACTAGTGATACAAATATCTTTTCAAAGAAAATGGTTTTTCTGAGAATGAATTGATGGAGAAATCCAAAAAGTATGTGTGCACCAGCTACGTTTATAGAGAGAATTTGGAATGTAAAATGCCTAAGTTTTTGAGTGATGCAGTCAATGTAAATACCTGAAGAACTGAACTAAACGTGTTTTAAGAGCATGTTCCTTGTATTTTAGGCCATAACTTCTGTGCAGAGGGGCACAGGTGTGGTGAAAACTCAGAGTGCAAAAACTGGAACACAAAAGCTACTTGTGAATGCAAGAACGGCTATCTCTCTGTCCAAGGAGACTCCGCATATTGTGAAGGTAAACAAAATATTCAAAGACCCATTCCATGAACAACTTATTTAAAAATGTAATATGAAATAAATGGTAGATGAATGAATTTCATTGCACAGTTCAGTTTCGTGGTGGTGAATATCACAGGGACCCTTTTTGTGTTCATAAACAGGGGTTGAAGGTTATGAGTGGCCACCGTGTCTGCAGGCGTATTTCATTGCTGTAGTTGTGTCTTTAGCACCATGGTCACGCTGTCATGACAAATTTTAAACTACTGTTTTTCAGACAACAGCACCTACCATCTAAAATGATTTTCAGAGAACAGTGTCTTTATAAGATGCATTAATTTAGGAAGTAGGAATTGTGCAGGCATTTGTGAGAATGGTACGAAGGAGTACTGTGGCTTGGATATAAAAATGATGACCTGCAGTCCTTCCTGAAGTACTTCTGTGGGACAGGTGCTTTACTGAAATGGTTTTCCTATGGTACATAAGAGACCTATTTCTGAGAAGATTGTAGCTGAGGTAGTTCTGTTCATGTGTTATGCCATCACAGGAATGAATGCAGTGGAGTATTATTCTCTTTTTTGTTGCTCAGTGTTTTCTAGAGCTTATTATTCATAGCTGTGATGTACTTCTTAAAAAATAAATTGATGATTCAATGTGTACCACATTCCTTCCTGCCTTTGCATTGTGGGTTGGGTTTTTTTAATACTTTTGTATGTCAGGCTGCAATATTTTATTTTTTGACCATGGTAGGAAGTTTTTGAACTACTCTGTAAAAAAAAATTTCCCTAGATTGTTTTTGCAATAGTACTGGTGATGGAAGGGGATGGCATTTTTGACAAGCTGTTAAAATACAGCATAAGAATTGAAATACTGAGGACTAAGGATGAAAGAATAAAAAAAGACGTGTGTGGATTGCGCTTAAATGATCCTGGATTCTTAAAAGGGCTTTTTAGTGTATACAAGTGAACAGGATGGCTTGAAATAGCATTTTATAAATATGTTCAGTAAAGTGCAGCTTTAAATCTTATGGTGTTTAGTAATTTCTCTGCAAACATTAATTTGAATGGTCCATTATATTCACTTTCAGTGACTGGGACAACAGTTCCCACATGTGTTCTTAAAGGTAAGCAGCAGATATATTGTGTATAGAGAGAACCGTTTTTGTACAAAAAACTGAACAAGTGCTTTTTACGTACTACAAGGACTTCTCAGACATCAGAGGACAGGCTGTTTATCAGCTGTAATACATAACCCAGTATTAGCTGGGTTCTTCTTTGCTGTTTTAAATAATTAGAGTGCTTAGTATTTCTGTTTTCCTAGACACAGACTGTCCCTTTTTCCTTCTGTGGAAAAAATTTAAACATCTTGACCCAAGCGAGTTTGGAGATATTGGCAGTACGTTAGTGGTAGTAATGGTGGAAAAAACCCAGCTGTTTTAAAGAAATTAACAGGAATTGCAACATACCTGGGTCTGTGTTGCATAAATTTTTGGAAGGGCAAATTAAATCCCTGACTTCTGTGTATGTGGGTGAAACATGAGGCAACAGAACAAGCAGCTGCTTTTGCTGCCGGAGACCTCGGGATAGAGGAGGGTGTTCCTTTCTGCATTTTATGAAATTCTATATGTGCTAGAAGGAGTGTAGTTCTCTGGAGGTAACACAGAGGAGGGGCCCTTGAGCAAGGGAGCTACAGACTGACAAATTGATTAGCCAAGAGGTGACTTCTTTCAGCCCTGTGAAGAGCTTCCTTCCACTCCTCCTTCCTCTTCTTTCTGCAGAATTTCTTTTTATGCCTCGCTAACTTCATACCTCTCACCTGTGTGTTTAATCTGCTAAATACAACCATTTCATAGTTGGTTGTACAATAGTCTCAAATGCATGGTGAAGCTGTGATTTAAACAAATGAGAGCAAAGGCACATGTCTGAAGGTACAGTTTAGCAGGACGTTGAAATAGTATGGATTTTCTTTTACTGTTTTGAATTTCTGTATGTAAGGATTAAATACTCAAAACACCTGAGCAACAAATACTAAACATACAAAACACCTGTGGAAGCAAGGAAGAGCTCATGCTCAGCTGTAGCTCTGAATTTGTCTTTGCTAAGCCTTTAAACTCTGGACATGTAAGATTACTGTTTCCTTTGAAATGGAAGGTTAAATGATTTCAAACTCGTGGTATGTGCTGGTAAAGTGGCACCTTAGTTTAGAGTGCTCCAGATCATTAACTTGCAGCTTTCCAGATTTCTCATCTCTTTCCATGTACTTTGTGCATGTGAATTGTGATTTATAGTATTATTTTACCTTACGTATGATTTTACTGTTATTTCTTCTTGCTCTTACAGTTTTATCCTGCTGGAGTTTGGCATCATTTTCATTTTGTATGATCTGTGAAGTATTGTGTTTGAGTCTGCTCTGCTTTTTTCATAAGCATTTGTCTCTTGTTTAACTTTGCATAGTCACATTAGCAGTACAGTGGAAAATAAATTAAAAATATTCTAACTTTTATCAGAGAATTGGCATCAACAAATTTGTAAAATAAATAATAAAAACCTGAGAGGCTTTCACTATTAATTCTCAGCAACTACTTTTCAAGTACTTAGAAGCTTCTTATGTCAAGATGTACATATAAGATAACCACTCACTATATGCATTCCATTTTTGAAATAATAGATGTACTGAGGGAAGACTGTTTCTGAAAGCAAGCAAGTAAATGAAGCTTGTGATGAATGAAGGAGATAAGTGGAGATTCTCTGTGTTATATAAAAGCAATATATTTTACTTAAAACCAGAAAAGTTGGGCTTTTTCTGTTTTTCTGACATTTGGCTGTTTTTCTTGCATATAAGACTTAATTACAGCATTGGTCTTTTGAAAAGAGACGTGTAGAAACATTTCTATTAATCATGTGGTCTGAGGTTTACCTATAGCTGTGGACACTTAGGCACAAATGTGGAACCAGTGTTCCTTTGTCACATAGGCATGGATAAATCCTGGAACTCACGCAGGTGAGCTAGCCAAGTCCAAGGCCTGCAGGACTCAACATTCCAGCTGCAGCAGTGTGTGCACACTTGCAGCTCTGGCTTCTCAGGACAGGGCAGGTGGACACTTGTGCTGAGCACAGGAAGCTGCATGTGTGTTAGTGCCACACGGGCAGCAGGCATGTGCAGCCGGGACCAAAATGGGGAATTTAATGGGGAATTGAGTCTGTCTGGTGCTGATTGTTCCAGGTGTGCTGTGCGATGTGTGCAGCAGACCTGCCAGTACTTCTACTCTCATGTACTTCTTCAGAGTTGAAAACCTCTGCAGTCTGTGACTAATTTGCAAATAATAGGACAGTACTATGAACTGAGAGACAGGAAAGGGTCAGCACATGGGGAGTCTGAAGTTCAGGCATGATAAAGGAAAATGGAGCCTCATCAGCTGGAAGCCAGGGTTGTTGCTATCTAGCATGCTGATGCTTGCTTTTTAGATAACAGGCAAAGGGCCATCTCTTCTGAAAAGAATTTCTGCTATATATTTCACAGTGAAGTGGAAAAGAATAGTATTTCTCTGCCACATTTCAGCTCCCCATTCTTTATTACCTCCTTCGCTTGAAACATTTACAGCCCCTTTCTACCTGCAAAGTTATGTTGGTACAAAAGTGATTTTTACCTTGGAGATGTTGAGATCTGATCCATTGTGAGTACTGCTAAAATCTGAAGTGGGATAGATAGCACAGGACAAATGCATGCTTCTTCTCACTGACAAGAGTGCATGGAACAAGAAAATCAGGGTTAACCTTAGCTATCCTTTGCACCCCCAAGAAGCATCTCATAGAAGGGGTACACTGGCATACCACAAGGTGTCTTGTCATGTTGTACAGCATGTGCTCAGCCAGTGTCACCAGAGAATGGTCTGTGATAACAGGTGTCATAAGAAAAGATCCGTTCACAGAAGTGGACCTGCAAGATGAATATTTTCATTTTATGACTGTATTGTATTATTTCCCTCTGTACCTAAGTGTGCTCTCTAGGACGATTCGTGTATTACCTGACCCTCACCTTAGTGCTGTTACATCAGCTTAAAGAGTGATGAATGAAATACCTTAACACTTGTGAAAATCTATGCAATTTTTGAACTTGATGGAATGCTCTAGAAGCACACGTGAGTTTCAGAAGGAACATGACTCAGTTGCTCTTTCCCTTCTGTGCTCCAAAACTGTTATTTAATCTGTTGTTAACAAATGATTGCTCATTTCAAAAACATATCACATAAGCTCTGAAATGCTGGCCAAATTCAGAAAATCTGACTACTTTGTGCTCTAAGGAAGAGTTGTGATAATTTTACTGGGCTTGGCAGATTTTGGGAAGATGAAATAGAGACGAGTGAACGCTTAGGGAGGAAACTGAGTGTTCATTTTCCACTGAGCATGGATCCAAGCATGCAGTATGGGGACCTGGCAGAATGTCTGCCTGGTGTGCTTGAAATCTCATGACTTTGTTGCTAGCTATTGTAAAAATAAAACCATATTTAATTTGCTTGCAATTTCAAGTAGGTTCCAGACACTTACAGTGGTCTTTATAGCTTTCGGTTTATTTTCCTTTGAACTTGATACCACATGTAGTCAGGAAATCCATTACAGAAAGATAGATATTGAAAATATCTGTTCTGAGGGTACATTAGTGTAGGTTTTGTCAGAAAATGTTTCTTTTCTGAAAGTCACTTAGAAAAAAATTTACAACACACAGAAGAAGATTTTTTTTTTTTCCCAATATTGCGGAAATCAGGAAAATTTAACCTTTTTAGATTAATGGTTTAGTTCCAAATGCAAAGACATAACTATCAGCATGTTTGAGTGAGGGAAAAAAGTTTACTTCTGTTGTAAAATATAGTGGAACAAAAAACCCTTTCATCATAAAGTGGGGCTTCTGTTATAGTTTTGAAGGTGAGAGAGCTTCATAAAGCTTACCTCTGCTATTTAATCCTTTGACTCATCACATTCTGTGCATAAATAACTGTTCAGTGTGCAGACCTTTTCTCAAGCC